AGTAACAGCATTGCAAGAGCTAATGTAAACAGTGCTTCTGCAGTATCACCTCATCTAAAAGAGCTCAGAGCAGGTTGGAATGAAGCTGTGGTAAAAGCATCACTAAATGTTGCAGCCCTGTCCTGAGTAGAGAGTCCCCCACTGCTGCTGTCTGTAGCGCTGGGCTTGATGTTGCAGAGAGGGAATTTTGAGTTGGGAATGGGATATAATGAGCAAGTGATGTTCTTGCATCTTTTCCAGTAATTATTCAGTTTTCTTTTCACTCTTTGTGGAATTTATTGAAAGCCCCTTGAAAGTCCCAATAAATATCTCCCTTTTCTCTTCTATTGATCATTACATTAACATGCTCAGAGTATTTTAGTGGATTGGTGAAGAATGATTTTTTTCCTCTCAGAATCCCTTTTGGCTTTTTTCAGTCCTATCACATTTAGCTAGATGATTTTTAGTACTTTCTATAATTATCATCTCAATTAATTCAGTTGATATAGAATAAAAGCTTGCAGGACTATAATTTCCCACATTACTCTGGATTTTTCTTAAAAAACAGGGCAACATCTGTTCCCCTTCAGTCTTCTGGAAGCTAATGGTTTAAATGTGTAATCCCCTTTTTATTATGATTATTAGCATCTCAGCTACTTTTTGAATTAATCTGTAATTTTTATATGATTGACATTTTCAAGGTATTTTCTTGAGATGTCTTTCTTGAAGTACTGTCTTGGAGAGTGTATCTCCATTGTGAGCAGTGATGGGCAAGCTTCTCCTCAGCATCCTGCCCCATGTAGGCAATTCCTGCAGCAGCAGAAGGTGCCTCCTTTCCCTTGCTCAGTTTGGCAGTAGGTGGGATGCAAGCAGGCACCATGTGGTGTGGAGCTGTTCGTGCTCACCTGTACAAGAGTGCTCCTGGGTATGGAGGTGAGAGGAGGAGCAGCCCTTCTGGCTCTGTCCTCTGGGCAAAATCCATCCTGACGTCCTTTGCGAGATGCCTGTGTTCGTGGTGTTCCTGGAGGCAGCACTCATCATCAGGAATTTCTGGTGACTTGTTTGTTATGTCTTTGACTAATTGCACTTCAGATTTTCTCTCTGCATTCCTAATCCTCATTTCAGGTTTTGCCAGCTGTGAGTGTGCCCTTCAGGGCTGGAATGACTTTTCTGAAGGATTTTTCATATGAGGAGTGGCTTGTACCACTTCCTGTACTATTTTTAGTGGCCTTTCTGAGCCCTTTTGTCACCAAGTCTGTCACCAGATACCACATACTCAAGTTTTCATCAGTATATTTTAACTTGGGGTTTGTTTTTTTTAAAAATTAATTCTTTTTTTTTTAAGACCAGATTACAATCTGCCAGTTTGTGACACCTTGCCCATCTGATGTTCTGAATAGCAGTTCTTTGCCAAGGTCCCTGTGAGTAAATGCTCCTTCAAAAGCATGAAAATTACTTCAGAAGCCAGGTCTGCTTGGACATCAAGGGTAAATTAAAAAATGTCCCTTTGCAGCTCTGCTTGCTGAGTATGTCCTTCATCCCAGAAGTGCCTCCTCTCCATACCTGACAGTTATTACTTCTATTATGGCCCAGATGGAAGAATTTTAATAATCAGTGTTAATCCAAATCTACCTAGGGTTTAGGTAAACCACATAGGTCTGATAGCCGTGCTGTGGGCCAGTGGAGAATTTGTCCTGATGAAATTCGGGGAAGGAGTTTGAGATGGAAAGAGATGCCCATGTAGACTGAGAAAAGAACCATTTGCACACTCGGACAGCATTTGTGATCTGAAGTGCTTCCTGAGGGAGGTTTATTCTTGGTAATCCCTGGTACATGAAATGCTTCCCTTCTCTGCAGTGTGCTCCTAGGTGTGATGCATACAAGCGGCTCCCTGTCTAACTAGCTGTTGTTGCCAGCTCTTTTCCCCAATAAGAAGAGCCTTGAAGGTATTGCTTGTACAACAAAGAGCAATACCTTGTGAGGTTTCTCGGAGAAAAGCTCTCAGCCATTCTGATGGTTTCCATTTACCCTGCAGTTTCTTCAAGGTAGGACAGAAACATGGGTCAACACTCTTGGCACAGTAGTAGGAATGTGAAACTCTTACTTCACTTATGATTAGGAGAAGGTCATCTATCAGGGAAACAAGTGCTGCATCCAGACCGTGACCTAGCTTTGGGGGGGATTCAGGCAATTAATAGATAGCATTGTGAACGTTTTCTGCTAAAAATCCTGACCTGGTTGATAGATGACCAAGAAAAGAGACCTTGGAAGCCGCATTCACAGTCCTGCTTCATTCTCACTGTACTTCTGCCTCTGATGTGGACTGGAGTTTTGTAGTATGTAGGGCTACAGATAGATTTCCTTCTTCTGAGACAAGTTGCCTGGTTGTCTTCTGTCTCTCTAGCAGGGGCAGGAGCTGGCATTCCCTGGTCCAGCCAGCCAGGGCAGCTGTCTCTTAGGAGTTTCAGCCAAGCCAGTTGTGAGAGCATGGTGGAGGATGCTGTGCGTGGGGCTTTTTGTTCCTGGAGCCCTCTGTAAGGATGCTCTCGTCTCTCTTGGCCAGGGCTGCTATGTCCATGAGGCCAACTGGCTTCTCTACAGGGTGGATAAGTTTGGGAAGGCCAACATTTCCTCTCTCCTTTTGCTAGAGGAGAGAGGGGCTATTTCTGCCTCCTTCTCAGCAGTGACCAACGTGAAGATAACACGCTGCATCCAAATGTGTCTACAACCAGCTGCATTTTCAGCTAGATGAGTTTTCTGTGCCGTTGTTCCCACCTCCCTTGGCAGTGTACGTGGGGTGGGTGTGTATGCTGAGCTGGCTGCCCGGCCTCAGGCCCAGCGCTGCGCTGCAGCCCCCGGGGTGCCCCAGCCTGGGGCTGTTTGATGGGCTCCCACTGTGCCTGTGGGAGGTCGCAGGGCCCTGTGCTGGCCTGTGCTCAGTGCTGGGGTTTGTGGAGCAGGTCTGTAAGGAGCCTTGTCACTGAGTCCTGGCTGTGCCCTGGGCTGTGGCTGGCTGATGCCTTGGGGGGGCAGCCAACCACTGCTCCCCTGTCCCTTTGCTGCTGGCAGGGGTTTCCTCCACGGCTGGAGGTAGCGGGCAGAGGGCGATTATCAGAGCTAGATAAAAGCATAAAAGCTGTTTCCCTGTAATGGGCTGCACTCCTGGTGCTGTGACAACTACCCAGCTGCTCTGGCTCCCTCCCTCCCACTGCCTTTCTCTTTCATCCCATTACTCCCTCACTGCTTTTCATGCTCTCTCGTCCTCTTTCACAGTTTCCTTTCCTTGTCCCCTTTTGGCCTGCTTTTGCCCCTGATGCACACAGGGAAGGAGAATAGGGAAGGAGCCAGGGCAGAGGCTTGCTTTTTACAGCAGGAGCTTTAAAGCTGATGTGTAAAATGCAGCACAATAATGTGGGAGAGTCCAGGCGTGCTCGTGGATATTATTTTCTGCCTGTGTATTTGTGAGTGCTTTTGAGCAGGCTGTATGCTGGGGAAAGCTCCCTCTCCTAGTGCGAGTGATGCTCGCCGCTGTGCGCCCACCTAGGAAAGTGTGTGTGGGTGTGTGTGTGGGTGTGGGGGTGTGTGTGTGGGTGTGTGTATGTGTGTGTGGGTGTGCTTGTGTGCATCAAGCTGTGAAATCTCACATGCTGAGCACGAGACCTGCACATTAGGCTTTCTCCTCACCCTCCCATAGGCCTGCATTTCGTGCATGTGCAGCTCAGTACACAGTCTGTCCCTTGACGTGTTCCCAAATGGAAGACACGTGCCCTGTCCTCTGATGTGACACAGACTTGCTTTGCATGGAGGGCAAAGTTAGCCAATAAATGGAGGGGGTGTGGTGTTCATGCAGGTTTGTTTTCCTTTCTGCCACGTACTTTGACACTTTTGTTGGAGTCCCTCACCACAGGATCTTGGGCAGATGAGGCCTGCAGACGCAGGATTTGACCTTCAATGACTTCTGACACAGAAACCTGAAGAAATTAGGAGTCTCCATGCAGACATGTGTCAGGCATTAACAGGAGACGAGTGCAGTTATTTTTTGTCATTGATTTGCTTAGATTTTATTAATGTATCAGGGTAAACTTATCTGAAGTTTATTGAAGAATATTGAGTATAGCTGTGTCCTTGGCAGGAGGCTTTTCTCGTGAGAGTAATAAAGGCAGAATAAATCATTGTCACTGAAGGATGTGGTGGCTGGTCTGTTATTGAGAGGCAGAATGAACCTCAGGAGTTGAAATCCATACCAGGCAAGTAGTTGATGATGGGTTTTGCCATTTGGTGGCTGCATTTTGGCCAACGTGAGCAAAGCTGGTGAGTCTTCTAATTCTTAGTTTCTAAAACTGCTGTCACTGCAGGCTTTATTGGCAATGTAAGCAGTAAGACCAAGACCTGGCTGGCCTGGAGGGTTGTAGTTTCCCCTTGTGTTGTGTGGGAGTGAGCTGAGGAGGATGAAGGACTGCCCATGTACTGTCCTCCTTACTGCCAAATAGACATGTGTAATTTTTGTTTTTCACAGACGCTTCTTGCAAGTTCCTGGAAATTTCTGTGGAGATGTCTGTGGTTTTCTTCTCACTTTAGTTCATTACACTTACACTAAGAGTCTAACATACATGGTCGTGGTCCTGACCTTTGTTTTTTTGACAAGGGGTTCCCAAACTGTGCATCGTAGCAGTGGATCACAGTGACAAAGCAGTGCTGCCCTATGGCTAGACATCTTATTCTGTGCAAGAATGTAGCCCTGGACAGAGCCAAAAACTAACGTGCTGTTGCTGATCATGGTGCCTGTGCAAATGAATGTCAAAACCCCTTATATTCTGGAGCATCTTGTTCTGGTCTGATTGAGCCCCTCTAAATCAAGCCAGAGTCCTAATACTTAGCTGACACATAAGATGATGGTGCCCCAAATCAAGAAAGGAAATCTCTGGTCTTTTTAAATACTGGACAAATAAAAGGTAGCTACGTGGGCCTGTGCATGTAACAGACAGCAAAAGGACTTGGCTGATGTTCTGATCTCTCCACAGGTGCACCTGCGCTCTGCTGAGCGCCTCCGGGAACTGTGCTGTGCCAACCGAGGCACCTTCATCAAGGTGGGACAGCATCTGGGAGCGCTTGACTACCTGCTGCCTGAGGAGTACACCCGCACCCTCAAAGTGCTGCACAGCCAGGCCCCACAGAGCACCAGGCAGGAGATTGAGCAAGTCATCCGTGAGGATCTGGGCAAAGAGGTAAGGTCAGCTGTAGTCTGTGTTGGCTTCTCAGGCCTCAGCAAGCCCTGGGAAGCTACAGGAAGGAAAACAGGAGCAAGGAGGTCCCTGGTGGTTCTCAGCTGCAAGAGGGGAGGTATCTTCTCCTTGTCCCTGGGAGAATGCCACGTGAATTTTCCCTGTCCATTAATGGGCAGTATTGGCAAGCTTAGGAAAGGAGAAGATAACAGAGGATTAAGGGTGTGAGGGCTGCCTGGTGAAAATGGCAGGGCTCAGCAGAGCAGCGTACCCCAGAGGTTATGCCAAGATTAACAGGGTTGCTGGAGGTCAGGATGGAGGGCCATCTGCCACACTGAGGAGCGGGAGCTGGAGATACTGATGTTCAGGACAAAGATATATTAGCAGGGCTCTGTGAGGGACGACTGCTCTCCCCTGACTGCACTAGACCAATTCCAGCTAGCACTGACAGCCTTTTACTTTCTCGAGCCCCTAATTAACCCCCAAAGAAAATAATAGCATAAATCACTTCTGGTGTTTGCAGTCAGGTAATACAGTAGCCCAGGAGTCTGTGTCACCATTAACCCTTGGTAACCACAGCACTGAGATCAGAGGTGGGTGCTTGTGTTCATTAGATGTAAGGGAAGTAACCACAGTATTTAGAGAGGGTGTTCTGCTACTTTGCATCTTGCCCCTTACAAGAAGAGGTCCTCTCACTCTCCAGCCCAGGTTGAGGAGGGGCATTTCAAGGGTCACAAATGAGATGGTGAGAGGGAGGCAGGAGGCAACAGTGGCAAAGGCAATGGAAGAGAAGGTGGGTGCGAGGGAGATGAAGACAGGAGGCTGAAGGATGGAAACATTGTGGACATGTGTTTTGGGGTGTTTTGGGATGTGTGACTGTGTGGTGAGGAGGTGTGGGTGTAACATGATGGTGTAAGTGAAGTATTTGCACCTAGTGAGTATATTATGGACAGATTTGGATGGGGTGGCTCTGCCTATGTGTACTTTTAGGGCCTAGGTATTCTCTAGTCAGGAGTGATAACTGTCATTTCCCTGCAGTTTAATGGCAGGGTAAATGCCAGCCCTTGACCTGGAAGATGCTCCCTCTGTCAGTGCTGCATCCTTGTAGCATGGCTGGTACCAGCTGTGTTTCATAGCTCAGTGGATAGTTGGAGCAGGGCAGGCTGGCTGCTCCCTGCAGTCCCCTGCTGCTCCATGGGCCTCTGTATGGCAAGCTCCCCTCCACAGAAGCCATGGAAAGCCACCTCAAGTTTAGCCCCCGTTAAATGATCATTGCCCTGGCTCCGTTTGTGTGGTGTCTCTCAGGGTGAGCCAGGTGCTCGGAGGTGGGCCCTCTTCTTTTCTCTCAAATGCCTGTTCAGCTGCCACTGGTACGCCCTGGTTTCTTTCAGCTTTTTGGGAGCAAGGCAAACCCTCCATGCCTCATTGATTTCCAGTGAGGCAGCTCGAATCCAGCCTCCACAGCAGCCTTCCCTCTTAGCATTCACTTCACCCACATGGGCAGTGCTGGGCAATATTTAATTTTAAAGAGACAGGGAGAAAAAAAAGGTAGAAATGGGAAGAAAGGGATAGAGAAGAAATGCTACTAAGAGAGAGAGAGAGATGATAAAAGAGAGAAATAAAGAGAATGACATGTATAAAAATAAAGAAGGTGGTGAAACTGGGCAGTATTAAAAGCAGAGGTAAATGCCCATATCCAGTAGTTACAAGATACCAAATCAAGGTATTTAAAAGTAAAAGGGATCTGGGGAACCTAATGTACCAAAGCTGTCTTTGCTGGAGCCCAGAGTATTTAATAGGGTTACTTTAGGAACAGATCTAATTCCAGTGTAGCTACATCCTTAGTACATTTTAAATACAATATACTTAGCTGAAATACAGATGGCAGAAGGGAAAGGTGGAGTGTCAGAGCAGAGGGGATTGCAGAGGGGGATCCTGAAACGTTCCCCCTTGAGGCCAGCATCAGACCTGGGAACTTGCAAATGAATTCAAATAGAAGAGAAACTGATAGTGAGGGAACCTTCCCAGGGGGCCTAGGCCTGACCCTGCTGCTCTCAGATTCAGTGGTAAGACTTCCAGTTCCCCCATCAGGTGCAAGAGCAGGCTTCTAGGATGAATCTTACATGTAGGCAAGAGGTAATGACATACAGTTTGGATCAGTGGAGAACAAATAGGGGAAATAGCAACTGGAAAGACAGAGGTGCCTGGGGAGGAATGTGACAAGCTGATAAATTAGGCAAGAGCTTGCGAAAGGGCATGAAGATAAAAAAAAGCCAATTTTGCATTTAGAAGCATTGTATCTTCAGTCAGTTAGAAATAGTCTGTCTTTTGATGTGACTTATTCCTGAGAATCTTATCAGAGGCTTGGATGTTTGCAAATGGAGTGGTTTTGTGGGAAAACTGGTGTAGATGAAGAGCATGCCAACGGGACTGATCTTTGAGCTTGTGAGGTTGGTGTGCAGCAGTTTGACACGGCTCAGACTTGTGTGACACCCTGCTGATGGAGGAACTTCGATTCTAGGCCAGCATCATGGCTGGAGACTGGAAGCTGCAGCATGTAGCTCTGCTGCATGAGCAGCAGGATGGAGTGATTTAAAGGCAAATGGCATGTGTGCTGATCTGACATGGAAGGAGAAGCATCATATATGCTGACTAGTGTGTTGCCCTGTCAAACCCTGTTTTAAGTCTAGGGTGAATCTGTGTGCCTGTCAGGGATCATTGGGATAAAAATCATCAGTAGTGATCAGATGCTGGCTTTCTCATCTCTGCCATAGTGGTTTTGCTAAGTGATCGTGGGAGGTCATCATGCTTTTGAGTGTTATATGCAAGAGGTTGGGGTGAGGGTGGGGTTCTCAGGACAACATGAGTAGTAGCAGCAGGAGAGGCTGCACAAGGAAATCTTACAATGACTCTTGGAAACACTCACCAGCAAGATCATAGAGGAAGAGTCTTTTGAGAAGACAGTGGAGATACCACAGGTATGGCTTGTTCTGGATGGATTCCTTGGATCAGTTGGGAAAAGCTGTGTGCATAAGAATGGGCAATGAGATATGAATGAAAGAATCTCTCCTACCTCTATTCTCATTGTTCCTGCTTGAATGAGGTTCTGAAAGCGAAAAGGCATCAGATGTGGAAAAAGAATGTGAAATGAGTATGTTCCCTACCCCACAATTGTCATTTTCTCTGCGGGGCTATTAATGACACAGGGGAAGATAGCTGGTGCTATCTCTACAAGTTGCATGCAGAGCAGAGCCAGGCAGCTCTGGTAAAATTTGGACACCAGACATTTGGGGAGAAAGAAGGGCTATTAATGACACAGGGAAAGATAGCTGGTGCTATCTCTACAAGTTACATGCAGAGCAGAGCCAGGCAGCTCTGGTGAAATTTGGACACCAGACATTTGGGGAGAAAGACTGATGAGAAGCTTTGGAAGATGAATCTTTTGGAGTGGCTGCACCTTAAAAGTGCAAAATCATTGTGCTTAGAAACTAGAAATGATGGAAAAATGTTTTGCTAGCATGAGGATTGGGGCATTTCCTCCCTCTGGTAGGTCTGTTGGAAGAGACTGGCTTGTGGCTGTGGGATGTAGGGATACTGGGCAGGTGATGGCAGTTTGGTCCCAGAGCAGAAGTGCAGAACCCAGGGCATCTCTGAGTTTGGCCAAGCCAGTTCCACCTGGCAGCCCTTCGGTGACTGTCAGAAAGGCTTCCTGTAGGTCTCTCTGTATGTGATTTCCACAGACAGGGTGCTCAGAGGAGCTTATCGCTCGTTGCTAAGACTGATCAGACCATTGTGAAACTCTGCCCTTTCAAAAGTACATCTGCTTCTCTCTGCTCTGATCAAGGCTGTTCCAGAGGGTGGCTCCTCATAGGACTGAGTGGCTGCAGAATGACTTGTCAGCTTTTACAACCTGCTCTTCCCAATATCCTTGGTGTCTTTCTGTTGTCTGACTCCAGTACTGGCCAGTGCAGTCCCTAATATGGCTCTGTGGGTCTTGCTTCTCTGCCACTATGCAATGATAATGAGTTTAGATACTGTGACATCTTCTAATTTCACTGTGTACTCCTATCTATGCCAACACACTTTTACCTCTTTCTAGTCCTAAAATACCTCCTGGTTTGCAGTCACCCATCTGATCTGCACATCCCAGTGGGCCACAGCAAATTTCTACCCCCTCAGCACCACTGTAATCCCTCTCCCGTGTACAGCTAGATGGCACTTCCCAGAGCCCATTGCTCATCAGCTTCCAGACTATTAGCATTTTGTAATCAACTTTCTGACCTTTTCCCAGAGACGACTTATTCTCCCCCTCAGTGTGTTTGTGTACTCAATACCCTACCCAGGCTTTTACTCATGTTGGAGGTATTTCATTCTCTCCCCACCCATCTCTCACCACTGTCCCTTTAGAAATATCCCAGTGCCTCCACCTGTGCTCCTTTGTGGCAGGTTCCCATCAGGCTGGTCCTCTAGTCTCTGCTCCTATGTCTGGTCTGAGGTTGTGCACTTGGGAGGTGGGGCAAGGATACCGTTAGCATCCCCATGAAGCCACCGTGGTCTCAGGTAGGGTCTTTCCCATGCTGGTGGGGCACCTGTGCTGCGCAGCTGCCCAGGTGCTCTGTGTCCAGGCTGCATCTTTGCCTGGGAGACAAGGGGCTGGTGCAGGGCACAAGGCCAGCCTTGCCTGCTGTGAGAGTGAGGGTCTCTCTGTCCTCCTTGCCCCTTGACTTATCCTCGTGTCTCTGGCCTCTTGCTAGCAGTTGTTGAAGCTGTCACAGAGATGAGTGGAAACTGCTGAAACTGAGCAGCCTCAGGTGCTATTGAGAGATCCCAAGAAATCCTGACTGGCTCTCTGCTTTGACCTCACATCTGCACACACGCTTACAGCATTGCTGGTGAGTTTGCTGTGCTCCAGGAAGGCTTAGAGGCGAAACAGGCTCCGCAGGGAGAACACACGTGTGACTGAATGTGTTGCTTCCAGTGCTTGCTTTGTTCAAAGCTGGGAG